AATAAAATCTGTCGGAAGAGGAGTATGGAACGGAGTCAAAAATATTGGTAAAAGAGTAGGTCAGTTTGTTGGTATTATACCTAAAGACCCTGAACCAGAAGAACAAGCTCCTGTTATACAACAGCCTGAACCTGCACCACAGTCTAGTTGGCAACCAAATCCAACACCTCAACCGTATTAAAAAATTATATTTTTACCGTTCGATAGTAGTTGTATATGAAACTAAGTTCTAAGTAAAACGCATGGTATAATGGAATTATTCTTTTTCTTCCATCTGTAGTAAACCATACTTGAAAGTCTGAAATACTTCCACTTGGTGGTTCGTATAACTTTGTAGGTTTTTCGTAAAAGTCATTTGCCAAGCATAAGAAAGAGTTTTGGGCGCCAGAAAATGAAGCATGAACAATAATAGCATCTGGGTCGAAAACATCTTTAAATAAATATGGTTCATCTCTTGCATATTGACTGTAGATATTTGCTAAAGGAGGTTCAACTTTCTGATTTAACATTCTTTGCAAATAATACCATGACATTGCAGCGAATTCTGTATATATTTGTTCGTCTTTATTTGGATTGTCTTCGTAGATTTGAAATGACACTTGTGAATTTTGTTTGTCATATACAATTCTCACATAAAGTGTGCTATCGGTATTCGCATATTCATCAGCATATTTTGCATAACATGAATTTATTTTATCTTCTATATTTTTTAATGCAGCCTGTAGAAAAGATGAGAGGTCAACTTGTATTAGCTCAATTTCTTCCCACATTTTTCGTTGCCCTTCAGATGTATAATCTATATGAAACCTTACAATAAATGGAAAACTTTTATCTTCTACAGACACAAACTTTATTCTTCGAAAGCCAATAGCTTTTGTGACAGATGGGTCTCTTAACCATCTTAATGGGTAGTCAAAACGATAGCCTTCATGCTTTATAGTATCTAAGTCAAACTTTTGACCGACATTAGTAAAAAGTTCATCTAATGGTTTAGTTGTAGCAACCCTAGAATTTTCTTTTTCTATTAGAAGCATATTTTATCTATAATAAAAATGTCAAATGAAACAGCGTCTATGAGAGAAATACAACACAACCGACAACTCATTATGCAAGCTCTAAATAAGAACACAACAAACTTTTCAAACTATTCTAAGATATCTGAGTCATTGAAAGAAGGAAACTTAAAACTGACATTAAACCCAATGACAGATGAGTTTCTATTTCAAGACAATAAGAACCATACTGTCTGTATAAATCCAACAAAAGGAACTTTAAACGAGAAACCTATAAATGAACTTCTTTTGAAAGCAGATGTTGACAACAAAGCTGACAAAGAATATGTAGACGATGCAATAGCAAAAGAAGAAGAAAGAGCTAACAATGCTTATGCAACAAAAGAACATACTCATCCTGAACTAGCAGACAAAACATATGTTGACAATAAAATGTCAAGTGAAGTGACAAGAGCTGAAAACGAATATTCTAAAAAGACTCATATACATTATATTAACCAAATACCAAGTCTTAAGGAAACATTAGAGACAAAAGCAAATAAGACTCATACACATTCTATATCTGATATTACAAACTTACAAGAAACCTTAAACAGGAAAAGTGCCGTTGGACATACACATACCATTGCAAATATTACAAACTTACAAGAAACTTTAAACAGGAAAAGTGACGTTGGACATACACATACCATTGCAAATATTACAAACTTACAAGAAACTTAAACAGGAAAAGTGACGTTGGACATACACATACCATTGCAAATATTACAAACTTACAAACTTAAACAGGAAAAGTGCCGTTGGACATACACATTCTATATCTGATATTACAAACTTACAAGAAACCTTAAACAGGAAAAGTGACGTTGGACATACACATACCATTGCAAATATTACAAACTTACAAAACTTAAACAGGAAAAGTGCCGTTGGACATACACATTCTATATCTGATATTACAAACTTACAAGAAACCTTAAACAGGAAAAGTGCCGTTGGACATACACATACATCTTCTGAAATAACAGACTTAAACGTTAGCATTGAAAATAAAGCAGATAAAACATATGTCAATAAAATATACCAAAGTTTGATAGGAACAAAAAATATTGAAACTATTGTTGGTGACTTTTCTGTCAATGAAGAAAATAAATATTTTAGATGGCAGTTGGTACAGTCCTTAAAAAAATGGTACACGGTATAAACTCATTCCGAAAAATAACAATGAAATGTATGTAAGCTATAAAAAGAATGATGGTACACAAGTTAAAGTTCCATTAGACAACAACTGCTAC